AGGTATATAGAAGGGGGACTAAGGGATGAGTCAGAAGTCACAATTTTATCAAAAGTCACAGCTGTATTTGAATAGAATTATAATAAAAATGTATATTTAAATGTGGGGGATTTTTAAAGGATTCCACAGAAATGCAAACTCATTCACATCACCATCAAAGGTGAAGGCAGAGACTGAATACTGAGGCCACGTGCTGAATAGCACATCTTTACAGACAAACCTGGTGAGCTAAAATAAACCAAATGCAAGCTAAGGGCTATGATGAAGTATATCTTCATATCCACATTTACGAGTATTGGAGCAAGTAAAGTTGTTTCTCAAAATTGATAACTTCTTTCAGAATTAGTTTCAAGGCAAGAGAGTTCATTCATAAGGTTTTATTATTTCTATTCTGTGCTGATTTAGCTGATAACCACTGGATAAATAGTATGGTTTCTAACCTTAGAACCTGTTCACGTTAAAAAAAAAAAAATGATCCCCAAGCCTCAGCTGTCAGAATGCAGTCTTGTCCATCTCACTGGGCTGTACTCATCATTAAGATGATACCTCTTTGGAGGAACCTGTGACTTTTTCCATTCATGTGTCCTACAGGAAGCCTTAGCCTGTGACTAGTACTTGTAATACAATCTGGTTAACTTAAGCCAGTATTTAGTATAACTTGAGAAGGTACAAGAAGATTGAGTTAGACTTTTCCTTTCATGTTTGGAATGATCTCAGGGGCAGCATGTGTTAATATTTGGCTAAAATTTAGCATTATCCTGTACTTTTCCTGTGCATAAAGTAAGGTTGTGGGGGATTGCACTTTCAAAACAAACCAGAGAATGTCTTATGTCAGGTTTTCTAAAGCTGAATGCTAGCTGAGGCATGTAGGATTCTAGTATCTATCTATCTATCTATCTATCTATCTATCTATCTATCTATCATCTATCTATCTATCATCAATCTATATACAATTCTAATGGGGATTCTATATAAATAGATTCTGCAGAGTCCCAGTATAGGACATGAGTGGTGGTAATTGAGGGATCTTGTTTCAGCTAAGAAATGTCTTAAATTTACAGGTAACAGCCATTTTCTCTGAAAAGTAAAAGAAAGGCATATACTGGTTTGATGCATATCTGTTACTGTCTCAGTTGTAACAGTCAACTAGAGGAAGAGAGACCAATTTCTCTAGTAAATTGTCCCACTGGTTATTCTAGCTTCAGTTCTCCCAGAAATTGACACTGAAATAAGGAGTTGATTTTAAGTGATTTATTTGAGATCTCAGGAAACACTGGTAGAAGAGTGGCAAAGTAAGAGAGAACAGGAAGTTGATAAATGTTTCTGACACATACAGAGCTTTAAAGTCATCATTCCTGTACTTATAACCAGAACAATCTATGAAAAATGAAAATCAATTATGATTATTATAATGATGATGATGATTATTTAGAACTGTTATAGAACTGAGGTCACAGGGTAAAATACCACTTCAAAACCTAGAGAGACAAGTACATTCAAAGAAAATGCAACTGATATCTGCTTAGTTGGTTTAGAAACAGCTGGAGCCATGAACTGGTAGTAACTCTTAAATGTTAACTTTGATAAATTACTACAGGCTGGCTACGGTCTAGTGTGTAAAACAGAAACACCTGGTGGCTGCAATCTCAGAAGGACCCCCAAACACTTGTGTAGGCTTTCCTTTCATGACTCTCACCAGGTTCTCATGATAATAATCCAAGAGTCAGTTATGTCCCTAGAAGTTGGATGGGAAGGATAACTATCGTGAAATAAACCAAAATCCTCCTGTATAACTAAGACCTACTCCTGAAGGACAAGGTATTTCCACATCTCAATTCAAAGACCTTACTCTAGCCAAGGAAAGTAATTTACTTTCCCTACAATCTTCTTGTTTCATGCAAGTCTTTGGGACAACATTGTCAACAGGGGTCATGGCTTCAAGAAAATAGAGTGGAAATTATATAGCCAAAAACATGGATTAATGCCTGGGGGAAAGAGAAAAAAAGAAGGTATATCCAGTAGAAATGCATATGACAGTCACAGTCCTGAGACACAGACAAAATGATTAATACCTATCTGAAAGGTTATAGAATGCATCTTTTCTCCCACACTTTACCAACCCAGCTATAGGACTCTAGAATAATAGTAAATTAGAGCTGAAATAGTTGCAGAATACACACTCTCCCTGTAACGGTGTATATACAGGAGCACAAAGTTGAAAGGACACACACAATCAAGGGCACTAGAGAAAGTTTAAGCATCTCATACTTATAGTCATAGAACACGTTAGACACAGCCCAATTCCTAGACACATTAACAGAAACACACTAAAAGCCTTTTTTCTCAGCTCCTATTACCTTATATATGTTCAGCTTTTAACAAAATATTACAAAGCATTCTGAAAGGTAAGAAAAAAAAGAAGTCTAAAGAGAAAAAAGAAATGCTAGAAAAAACTTTTCTTGTTTGAGTTTGCTCTTTGTTTCTCAGATATTACATAGATATTGGAATTATCAGAAGGGACTTTAAAATAACTATGATTAATGTGTTAATGTCTCTAATGGCTAGTGTAGACAGCATGCAAGAATAGATGAGTTACAGAAACAGATAGATGGAAATTCTAAGAAAATATCAAAAGAAAATTCTAGAAATCAAAAACACTTTAACTAGAATAAAGAATTCCTTCAATGGACTCATCAATAGGCATAATACAACTGAGGAAAGAATCAGTGAACTTGAAGACGTTTCAACATAGTCTTACAAATTGAAATAGGAAGAAGAAAGGAAGAAAGAAAACAGAAGAACATCCGAGAACTGTGAGATATTATCAAAAGGTATAACACACATATTTGGAACACCAGAAGGAGAAAAGAGAGAGAATAAAGTGGAAGACATATTTGAAATAATAAAAGTTGAAAAAATTCCCAAATTAATAACGAACCCCAAACTACAGATCTAGGGAGCTCAGAAACACCAAAAGAATATAAATAACAATACAACAACAACAAACACCTAGACATATTGTATTTATACAGATAACCAAAGACAAAGAAAAAAATTTGAATTCAGATTTTAAAACAGAAAATAAAATCCTCACCTAAGAAACAAAGATAAGAAGAATTACAATAGATTTTCATCAGAAACCATGCAAATCAGAAGACAGCAAAATGGTAGTCTGAAATATTTAAAATGTTGAAGTAAGAAAACAAAAACCAAACAAACAATAATCACAACACCAACATGAAATTCTATATCCAGAAAAATTATCCCTCAAAAGTGAAGCAGAAATAGACTTTCTCAGATAAATAAAAACTGAGTGAATTCATCACCAGCAAATCTACCCGGCAAGAAATGTTAAAAGTTCTTCATGAAGAAAGTTATAAAGAAAAATTGTTAGAGAAGAAATAAGTTAATGTAAAGTGATTTTGTATATATACATGATATACATGATATATATATATATATATATATATATATATATATATGATACATATATGATAAATAGAAAAAAATATATACACACACACACACACACACACACACTTAATAGATCTAAAACTTAACTTTGTCTCAAACAAGAATACTAAAAATAAACTGGGTGATCCTAGCATATGGATAAGTAAAATGAATCACAGCAACATCCAAGAGGAATGTGGAATTAAAAATATTTTCCTATAAGGTATCTGAACTACATGACAAATGGCATAGTGTTTTGTGAGAGTGAACTTAAATTAGTAAATATGTATATTGTAAATCCTAGATCAACCACAAAATATATTCAAAATAAGTATAATCAATTCACTAAAAGTGATAAAATAGAATCATAGAAATTGTTCAGTTAAAAACAGAGGAAGGCTGGCCAAGTGGCTCAGAGCCTGCTCAAGAGTTTAAGCTCTGAGCAACAGCGGTTTGATTCCTGGTCCGAGCTGAGCTGCCACTGAGCTGCCAACAGACAGCAGGAAGGCTCAGCTAAAAAAACCCAAAAACAAACAAACAAACAAAAGAGAAGCCACACACCCTCCACAAACAAACAAACAAACAAACAAACAAACAAACAAACAAACAAAAACTAGGTGGAGAGAGAAACAAAGAACAAATTCAAAAAATAGAAAACATGCACAAGCATGGTAGCTATTACATCAACTATATCAATAATCACTTTAAATGTGAATGGCCTAATACACCAATTAAAAAACAAAGATTGTCAGAGTGGATTAAAAAACAAATACAAAAACAGACTAACTCAATGTTGTCTACATGAAACCCACTTTAAATATAAAGACTCAGGTTAAAAGTAAAGGGATGGAACCCTGTAAAGTTTGTGTTAGGAAGTTACTATAGAGGCAGTGAAGCTTATTCATGCTGGGAACTCTGGAACCTAGGGGTGAACACAGACCTCGGAGCTTTGTATCCACAGGGCAAGGGAGCTATGCTGTTTATCGCACAAACTGCTTTAAGATTGGTCCATAGCAGTTTCCAGAGGGTATTTATACCTGGAATTTTGGTTTTTTTTTAATGCTCAAGGATGGACTGGTCACTGGTGCGTGGAGAAAGTTCTCAGGCTAGGAATTCAGGTACTACCAGTAGGAAGCCAGGATTATCTGCATGAAAACGATGACTGTTAATGGACTATAGATGAGGCACCAAGGGTCTCTGCTACATTGACAAAGCCCATGGCAGGGACTTTGAAGGGAGGGCAGAGCATGATCACCAAGAGCTGTGGATTCTGGGAGGAGATCCCTTTGTAGAAGAAGGAAATTTTCCTAAAGTATCTTCACCTTTAGGCTTCTCACTCCCGTGGCTGCCTTCCTCATCTAGAGACTATTGATGAGTATAAAGTATTATGCACACATACATATTATGTATTGCATAGCAATTATATATGTTATATAATTATTACATTATAGACACAATTTATGTATTATATAGTATCAACACAATACATACATTCGAGTATATAACAGTATTTGATGTTACATTATATATCTGTTGTAATCTCTTACCACTGTAACTTCTATGAAGGCTGGATCTTTATCTACTTTGTTCATGTCTGTATCCCCAATGCCTAAAAGAGTGCCTAGAACAGTTTGTTTAATAAATTGATGAATAAATTGTACCTAAAACTTTGGAGGTTGTATACAAACTATAACTATAATTTTGGAGGTTGAACATATCATTTATAGTTTATAGTCTTGAACCATGTTTTTGGTTATTTGCATTATTTGATTGGGTGGAAAAATACATTTCTGTAATACCAAAAATTGATTTTTTTTCTACTAAGATTTATAGGTTTAATACTTACAATCTTTTGTATCTAAGTATCTATGCAAAATTTAATGCATTTTATACAATACTGTCTAAAGGATATTTGTAATACTATAATACAAATCTACACTGTCAATTCTACATGAAGTTATGACTCACTGATTGGTTCATTTGCAACAGAGAGAAGTAATGATGTGCCTAGAGGTACAAATATCTTCCCTTCATGATCAGCAAAAACCAGTTTCAGATGGTAGATATTATATATATTTCAGATAGTAGACATTAAGTCCATTCATTTAAAAATAATTTATGGAGTATTGTGTATATCCTGGAGACACAAATATGTTTTCTATTAACACCATTATGTTGGCGGTGCAAAAGAAAGACAACTTTTGTTTATCAAACAAAACAGAAACAAACTCATAGTTACAGAGAACATTTTGATGGTTGCCAGATGGGAGGGGGGTGGGTAAAAAAGGGGAAAGGATTACAAAGTACAAATTAGTTGTTACAAAGTAGTTATGGGGATGTAGGGTATGGCATAAGGAATATAGTCAAGATGGGTACGAGATTTAATGGGTGACAGATGGGATAGGGGTTGGGGGGCAGGGTGAAAAAGATGAAGGCATTAAGTACAAATTGGTAGTTACAAAATAGTCACAGGGTTGTAAAGTAAAGCATAGGGAATATAGTCAATAATATGGTAATATGTATGTATGGTGCCAGGTGGGCATTTGACTAGTCAGGGTGGTCACTTCCTCAATTACATAAATGTCTAACTACTATGCCAAACACCTGAAATTTTAACACCTGAAATATAAAATAAAATGTAATGTCAACTGTAATTGAAAAAATTTTTAAAAGGGGGGTGGGAAAGATGAAGGGGAATAAAAAGTTCAAATTTCCAGGTATAAAACAAATAGGTCATGGGGATATAATACACAGCATGGGGAATATTGCGATAGCATAGCACGATGTCAGATGGTTGCTGGACTTATCATGGTAATCATTTCTTAAGGCATATAAATATTAAATAACTATCATGTACACCTGAAACTAATATAATATTATATGTTAGCTATATTTTAATAAAAATATTTTAAAATAAAAAAATTTAAAAAGGCTATGACAGGAGCACAGTGGTAGGTAAGTTTTTACAGTTGAGGGAATCAGTGTCAAAATAATGCCTAATTTATTGAAAGCTGAATAGGTGGCAGCAGGTATAAAAAGGGTGCAGTAGACTTTATGTTATAGGAAAAGTAATTATATATGGAACCATGAAATATCATACTTTTGAAAAATTGCAAGCCATTTGGCATGGCTGGGGAATTTGGTACATGTTGTAGTTTAAGGTGATGGACTATTACAGGTAACAACAATGAAAGGTAAGGCAGGGGCTAGATTATGAAGATGTCCCTATGTATGCTAAGAAGTCTGAGTGTTATAAAAGCTGATGGGAAAGTCAGTAAAATTTTTAAGCAACAAAGGAAACTGATCAGGTTTACATTTAGGAAACAGATGTGACTACAGGGTAGAGAATGAAATAGTGATAGAGTGAAGGCTGGAAGCAAAGAGACTAGTTACGACAACATTTTGCAGGTGTGAAAAGGCAAAATCCTTAATAAAAAGAGCAGGAACCAGAGCAGAGATGATGGAAAGGCACTGGGAGACCTGAGATAGCACCACAGGAGATTGTGACTGATGAAATGAAGCCTGCAGAAGAGACTGGTTCCAGTTGAGTGATGGAGACAGAGGTCAAATTTTTCCACAATGGTGAGTGATTGGGAGGTAAGAAAGTGCATATCCTGAGTATCTTCCTTAAAAGGGAAAAATATTAGCTGCTCAATTCTGGGATGACTAGTCTGTTGAATCTACGGATTGTTTTTGAGATTATTTTTTAACAAGACAAATTTCCTAGAGCGTAGATATGAGTTATTTAATATTTTCTGACTTTTACTCAGATTTACTTTCATTCAGTTATGTTTTCATACATATTGGTTCCTATTCTTTGTTTTCATTGTTAACATATTTAAACATAGCATAAATATAATCAATTAAAAAGTTCAGAACAACTATTTTACTATTAATAATAATAAACTGGAAAGGACACAATAAACATTTTAAAGTTCCTGAAGCTTGTTATAGACATTCAGTAGAGATGGCCAGTTTCTCTCGAGTAACTTGGACTGGAATAGTTCATGACTGAATTCAACAAGGGTTACTTGGAGGCCACGATGCTATTATGGAATCTTTTGGATTTGATGAGAAATTTGTATATTTTCTAATACTGCATTTTAAAGATCTAAGGAAGACGTTTCCCATATTAAAATATATATTACTCAAAAAGATGGTCACACGGAAAAGGGATATACATATATTTTTTCAATAAAATTAAATGATAGATTCATAATTATAGATGAGTCCTATTAGTTCCTAAATCATACATTTTGTTTTCTTTCTTTCTTTCTTTCTTTCTTTCTTTCTTTCTTTCTTTCTTTCTTTCTTTCTTTCTTTCTTTCTTTCTTTCTTTTCTTCCTTTCTTTCTTATTTCATGGCTACAAAATGAAACTGCCTTGCTGAGAACAAAATGAGGTAAAATAATAGTCCTGAAAACTTCTTAGCTTTATGCGTTTTTAGAAAATGTTTTCTCAAAAAGCAAGCATGACACTGTAGGTGTCACATCACAGGAGTTCCCAGGCGCCCTGCAAAGATCATAATGCAACCACAGTTTCCATAATAAGAGGCACAGTATATGGAGACCTGCTCTCCTTCCCAGCAGGTTCTGCCCCTGTGGTTAATTTTGCTTTTGTCTTGAACTCCAAATAGGAGTGATAGTCTGTGCATTTGATACATTGTTAGCACAGCAGGGAAAGCCCACTTGGAAATAATCATATGTTTCAGGTATCAAAAAGAAAAGGGATATTTTGCAAAGAGAAACATTTTAACCTGAAAAACTTACAACTAAAATTTGGGTGGAGAAGACACAGTGAGGAAGGAAAGGGCATTTAGGTGTATTGATTGCCACAAATGCTATACTCAAATGATCTTAGTCCTGACAATGTTAATCCTCAGGTGAACAGTGTTAGTCCCATTTTACATGTGATGAAAACAAGACTAGAAGGGTTAGGATAACTGGTCCAAGATCTTATACCACATAATAGTGAGTCTGACTTTTAACAATTGCTTTTTGAGCTTCCCTCTAATCCTGGCATTGTTTTCTATCACAGGGATCAATACTGGCCTAAAAAACTGAACACAGGAAAAAAATAATAAAAGTTTAAGAATTTAGCATCTTTTGTTAAAATATGAACTTAATTAAAATTTAAATACATGATAATGCAAAACATTTAATCCTGTGTTTTCATTTAAATATATAATAGTTGGCCACCCTGCATATTTTAGGAAAATGCCTTTTTAAATAATAATAATGTTTATATAAGGCTATACAAATGCTATAATAAAACTGCACTAAACTTAAGGAGATCAGTGATGGTAGTATTACCTAGCCATTGTAAGTTGTTAAATTCATGAATATAATGTATCATAAATTCTATTGGCATTAATTAGATAATAGAAACAATTAACGATTTAAAAACATTTATAAAATGTAGCTGTAATTAAACACTAATCAAAGTGTAGTAAAAAAACATTTTAAAATGTGGAATTGAAATTCTTTTGGGTAAAATAACAGTATTTACTTAGATATACTTTATGGATTCTCTGTTGAGAAAACAGAAGTATCTTTTACCACCACCCCTGCCTTTGCATTCCTACAATGGGCTAGGGTAAGAAGTCAGTGATAAGTTGCTTTAATGAAGTAATTGAGAAATTTCACATTTCTATGGCTCTTGGGAAGAAATATATAGGGATACGTTGAAAAAAATACATGAAAGATAGGGCAGAAATTCCACTGAGATGATTAGATGACAGGGTTCAAAGAGAAAATATGTACAGAGAGAAAAATCGTTGTGGCAAAGACAGCTGAAAACCTTTTATGAAAGGGAAAAACTGATTACATTTTCCATTGTTCACTTGCAGCATGATGGTGAAATTCTTCTCAATTCCCCCAGTCTTTAATAAAATTCAGCTAGGAATGGGATCAAAAAATGGTGGCATTTCAAAGCCAAAGAGTAGTTTACCATGGTTTATGTTTAATAGATCGTCAGGAAAGAAGAGAGCTGTTAGATGTTAGGAAAAAATTTAGAAACACTAATTCAGAAGACAGGAAGCAGAATAAGACATAACTGGGAGAAATAAATTCCTGTAGAAAACAATGGTTTGCATGGTGGTGGTGGTGTGTGTGTGTGTGTGTGTGTGTGTGTGTGTGTGTGTGTGTGTGTGCGCTCATGCTGAGGAAGGAATTGGTTGCTAGGTTTCTTGCCATATAAAGGGGTCAGTAAAGATTTTTGGTTTGATTTTTACAAAAATAAAGAATCATTCCATACATTGGAGGATTTACAGGACACACAGAATTTGATACCTGAATTAAAAAACAATGTTTCTAATTTAGAATATCAATTTCAATTCAGTTGAAATGTTATATTCTGAGGATTGGAACCAAAAAAATTGATTTTAAACTAATTTATGCAGAGAATGACAGGAAATAGTTGAAACTGAAGTCTCATTTACTCTTATAATTTTCATATAACCTAGCTTTATTCATACATTAGACAATAGGTTTATCCAGAGACCATCCTAATATTACAAAGAGTCTTATTTGGTTGCATTCACAACTGTGCAGGCTGGCCTGGATACAAGTTCAAGGCACTCTCAAATCTCAGTG